ATAGCTGAGGAAGGAGACCATTGTCCTTAATTTTGCAGCCATAACCACTTGTTGATGCAGCATTAACTAAACAACTAACGATTTTGTTTTATTCTATTCTCGTAATATTATGCAATAAGATTTGGTAATTATAGTTTGAAATTTGATGTGTTTGGCCCATTTCCCTTTACCAATACAAATGGGAGCTCAACAAATTAAAGTTGTTTACCCATTTGCTTTTCTTCTAAAATTTTTTCCTTTCCAACAAAGCGAAAATAAATATATATTTTTTCTCCTACATTATATCTAAAACATAAGGAAGAAATTAACTATGTTAAAAAAAATTGATAATTTTTCATATTTTCGTTTCTTTTCTTTTCTTCCAAACAAAATGTAAAATTTTGTTGTAAAAAGTCTGCACTGCGGCCGTGCTAAACATACTTATATATAAAGTAAAATTGCTAAGTTAATAGATATGGCTGAAGCTGTGAAAATTAGATTAAGAGGATGTACGTTTGCAAAACTTCCGTGATACGGAAGAGTCTAAGGCTAATATTAAATAAATGGCGCTGAAGTACGTAAATTCACATTGCTTTCTAGAAAAAAGAGCCTGTATAGCACCCTCAATTTTATGTTATTATTGAAAACACTTTAATTTATAAAATATGGTGAGCGCGTCGATTAGATAATGTGTATTAACCTATTAACACTTCAAACTTATAAAATTAGATCAATAGAACACGATTAAAAGAATGAAAAAAAATATAAAAATTATTGTTCTAAAAATTATATTAACCGCCAAATCCAAATCAATTATTTTGGCATAAAAGCCAAAAAATAGACCTTAAAATTACTATTTTATTGTGAAAAAAGATGTGAAATTATTACAAAAGATGAAGTTCAGAATGCCACAAGATTCGATTTATTAATTCAAAGATAACGAACCAAGGGTTTTTTTTTTTTTTTTTTTTTTATCCCGTCAGAAGTTCCAGTCGCTAAATGATTGCATTCGGCCACTAAAAAATCCATGTTCTACTAGTGAGACACCTAATGGTATCTCCAAAATACAGACATCAATAGAGGAGAAATTGAATTGTTCAAACCCAAATGAGCTAAAATACAGGGATCGTGGTATATTTTTACAGGAAAAAAAAGACATAATAAGAATGATAATTAGAACAGTGATGGTTTTTTTTTTCAATAACAATCAAACTATTAGCTCGGTTGTATTAACATGAAACTCCCTTTTTTTCAGAGCAAAATGACAACAATAATAAAAAGTGACAATTTTTTCAAAATAAAATAGGAGTACGAGTAATATTTTTTAAAATAACAATCAACTACGAACAAATATGAACCATTTTGCTTACTTCGAAAATATGAATTTTCCCAACCAGAGAGCACAAGTCTCCCATTTGAAAGCGGGATGGGTTTTTCTCACCTCTTATCAGTTACTATGTAAGCCTTTTCTTAACTAATAATTTGTTTTTCTTAATAAAATTGATAAGGGCGGGCAAAGATCCTTGGATGCCCAAAACACATGCATTTAGGAAAGTTGAAAGAACATAACGTGGTAAAAGTATATATACGTCCCAACATTATACTAGTACCTTAGGAAGGAAACCCTTTCCCTGGCTGGATTGAAGAGTCAGGTCAGGGATAGTCTTCTCAAAGCTTCGCAAGCACAAAATTCCTAAAATTCTTTTCCACTAAACTTATTAAACCTTTTACTCTACAAAACGAGGGGTAATTTTTCCCCATCTCAATAAAACTGCCCCCCAACTCATATTTTGAATTTGAAACTTACAAGTTCAAAATAGTAAGTTGGCTCTTTGTGAACCCTAATACTACAAACAGGACATGCTTTTTCAAATGCATTTTATAAATATCAACAAATTAGGAGGAAGATATAAAACTAGGAAGGAGATGTGGACCTTTGTTTTCTTTTACCTTCATTTAGTTACTGGTTTATTGATCAGAATCCTGAAAAGAATCTTCACTGTTCCTAAGTTCTGTCATTGCAACTTGTCAAACATTTTGGTTCACAAGTTTTCAGTGCTCATCGCCTCTTTGTCACATGCACCACAAGCACTGTGTCTGGTAATGCAGACCCAACCTTGCACAGAAATCGCTCATTTGCCATCACCTGCTAATCGGCCACATGCCATGATTCCTTTTTGCTGATTTCCTGAAACCAAATAAAAGGTTATAGATATATAATTAAGATAAAGGTATTATTTCTGCATCGTAACATTAAGCACAAATAGGTCAATAATTTCCACTCTGAATGAATCATGCTCTTCACATACATTGAAGTGTATTTAGAAGTAAAAAAAGACCCAGAATTGTAAACTTTTGCATCTAAAATAAGTACTGAAAAGCTTATAAACACATTAGTCTCATGTATTGCATTTCATGAAACGTACAAACACAAATTGAAATACATTATATTAGATTTTCCAATGCTAAACTTTAACTTCAATAGCATTTCTTTCATGACTCTTCAGATGTTTCGACAAATTTGGACAGGTGTGAACAAGCATAATGCACAAATATCCAATGGTATGAAAAAGATTTGTCCACTGTTTGCAATTTTTTAAAAAAATAATTTGATAAGTAATCAAGATATCCTTGGACAACTTGTTATGATGGCTTACACTAAATTTGCCTCAAACTAATGCTCTCAACTAATGCTGTGTCAAAATAATGACCAAATGGCATTTCTAGTGTATATTAATAGCACAATGACCAAAATAAAACTGAAAAGAAAATATGACAAACATAAACCAAGCACGCAAAGAATTTCATAAAATAAAGTATGACACGGGAGAAAAACAAATATGATTACCTGGATTACTACAGAAAAATGGCCGGTGTGGTCATTCTAAGCTTTTAGGTTACCTTTTTACAAAAGGTATTATCGAACCTGCAAACAAGAAAATAACAAAACTCAGTCCCTCAAAATTATGTTTAACAAAACAATATTATAAAAAGAAATAGAAAAGTTACTGGCATGAATGAGAGCATGAATCCAACGACCAAATAAAATTGGATGAGTGTGCATAAAGGCAAAAGTACATTGAGAGTTACATGAATTGCGTGGGTGTTGTTATAAGCAAAAACTACATTGGGAGATACAATGAATTGGGCAACAAGGATTTTTTGTGCAAGTTGTCCAAAGTTTCATCATTAAAAAGTAATTCAACCATGCTACCAGGATTTAATTTTCAAAATTAGAATCACTCACTTGCCATGGTTACCAGTAGTAGTACTGAGCAGAAAACAAACCCCAAATCACCTTTTATATCACCAATCATTATGGCAAGGAATGCAACTACATTAACATGGTTGCTAGGGGTTGGCAAATGGGTGGGGTTTAATAAACGTTGGCCAAAAATAACTCAATTACGCCATTTAATGATCCAGTTTTATTGTATTTACATGGGTACTCATACCCAGTTAACCCATTATAAATTACTCACCAACCATACCCATTTGCATCCACTCCACTCATTACTTACCAAATTAACCCCTTCTTTCTCCACCATCTTTGCACCATGTTGTAGGTAGAGACATGGGTTAATTAGATGACAGACAGATCAACTTGCCATTCCTAAGTTGTGGCAAGAGAAGCTGAATTAGTTTCAATGACAGAGTTGCAACACCACCACCCACAATTTGTCATTGTCATTACCACAAAAACCACTAGTTAAATTTAACGATGTCTAGCATTGTTTTTTGTTGCAGCACAAATTTCAAGTTGTTTCATAGCCAGAATGGATGTGGCTTTGGTTGTAGTAACCAACTTAAGCACAAACGAATCAGTTCTCCATAAACTAAAATCCCAATACCTATTATATTTTCTATTGCATGAAAAAAATCTTCTTAGATACATTTGATTTAGTTTTGAGAGCCGTCATCGAGGTCTAGATACTCAACCGTTTGACTCAGAAGCACCGAGTAAAGAGTGTATTAAAAGCCAGCAGTCTGCATTTAGGCACCACACTGCTGAACTTAGGACGTTTTGGCCAAAAAAAAAAAAAGGAAAGAAACAGTTTAAAAATCCTGCAGTAATTTTCATTCCGCTTAGCTTTGATTTTTGAAACTAAAAGGCTCACTTTGATTAAAGAAAAGGTAGAAATTCTAGAATAACAGCTCAGAAATTCAGCTTTTGTAAATAATACCATTAATGAGAAATCAATAGTTATAAAAAGAAGGGTCAATGTTAATACATAAAAAAAGCTCAATTAGTTTGTTAAATATTACAGTACATTTTCATATCATTACCATAGAGAGAAGATATCAAAAAAAATAAAGATTTTTGATGATGGTAGTTGGTGCTGTGTGTAGGGGTTTCCGGTTGCAGAGGTGGAAGCGGAGGTAAAGTTGGTATGTCAGTGGTGGTGGAATAGTAGGTAGGGTAATGGATATCTCCAAAACCGTTACCCATCCATACATTAATTGGTTAGTATGGTATGACCCATTTAAAATAGAAAAAGAACCTATATCCTTCTGTAAAAGAATGAAGATGAACAAATTTTGTCACCTTCTTTAACATGTTGCTTTAAACAACCCCCCCCCCCCCCCCCCCCCGGGGGAGCATGGAATTATCTAATGATGTCAAACTTAAGGGTTACAATTAAAGGGGGCCATCGATTCATGGGCACAGGGTATCAATAAAAAGTTTAATAATCATAAAAAATGACATTAAAAATTAAAAATTAGTTAAAAAAAAATTTCTTGAGGTTTACCTATGAATACCATGGCAACCAAATGCCATCAAAGATCATTTCGGAGCTTTTTAGGGACCTTGCTGCGAGTTTTGGCAAGAATAGATATTTTTGTTGAAATCTAATGGCGTCTCATCAAAAGGATGTGACATTATCCCAAAGTTTTAGGCGAGAAATCAACATAGCTTAAAATGTAAAGACAGACCGTATGCATTCTATTTATTTTCAAATTAACAATTTCATGCATATTTATTAAGGAAGTTTAATAATTAAAATTCAACCAAATCATCATCACAAAAATGCTATAAAAATATGGGAAAGGAAGTCTTGTGAGGTAAGCAGCATAACTTGATGCCTTTCTTTCCACTTGAGGAAAAAAGTTGCTCCCCAAAGAGCTTTTCAGAAAATATGATCCCGCATTGCTCATCATTTAGTAACAAGCAAGCACCTCCGCTTTACAGCAGCATTAAGCCAATACCTGAATTATTGGAGAACTCCATATGCATATCAAACGTCTTACTAGTAGTTAAAACAAGCCATCCAAGATAAATACCATATACCATATATATAATTTATGCAAGCACCAAGGTTAGCGAGGAGTGCGTAACACAAAATTCTGCAAACATATCAGTTACAAGAGGATTTTGCTCGATAAAAATATGGAGGGATGGAAAAGAAACAGGGTAAGAAAACACGCATATAGACAAGTTGGTCCGGATACGCATACCAATCATCGTTGGAACCGATGAGGTGTTGTATAAAGAACTTCTTTTTCTATCGCACGCGCTGAATCAGCTTTCTGAGAGGGGATTTCAAGAGTGCCCGGAAACACGTTGTTTATGCAAAGATTATAAGGTGGCCAGTTTCCACTTCCGATCGTACAGCTCTTTCACAACAGCGTCAGCTGCTTTAAATTAAGCAATTTTGAGAATTGTCAGTTCGAATGAATCAGACCAATTTGTAATCAAAAAGAAACAGACTAAAATATAGGATGGAAAGTTAAACAAAAATTGACCAAAAGACCTACGAAAACCAACCTGAGGAATGCTTAAATCCACCTTCTTTGGCAAAGTTTTGTTGGATAGAGTCCAACATTTGCTCCATCCACTACTGCTTCATAATTGGCAGTTTTTCCAGCCATTCCTAACAATTACAGAAGAAAAAAAAATGTTACAAACAAAAATATAGAAAGATAACAACCAATTTCCTTTTCTTTCCAAACAGATGGAAAAACTACCAAGAAATAACCATCATGTCTATGCCTGTAATCATTATATTTGTACTTGTTAAAAGTCAAGCTTTTGAATCACCCCAATGGAAAGTATAAAAGCTATATTTTTTCAGACAATGTATTTCTTGGCATCCAATCCATGCAAATTCGTAGAAAGAAGTCTACAAACTATGAACATGAACAGTGGACACAGAAGACTCAGACAGCCTCATTACCTAACTAATAAAACAGCATAACTTCTATCAAACACACGAACAAAACAAGGAACCTAATTGATCAACAGCATTATTGCAACTAACATAGTGAAGTATTAAAGATATTAATAAAGGAAAGCACATCAAATCAGCTTAAACATCACTCACCATAAAATCACTTAAAAATAAAGCTTTAACCTCCCTTTCCATAGCCAAACCAGCAAACAGACCCTCAAACCTTTCAGTCTCCATATCAGCAATATCAAATAACAACCAACTGCTCCCAACATGAAAGGCAACTTTCCAACCCATACCAACATTACCCTCTCTTCACCACCACCTTAACCCTTCCCCCAATCCAAACCAATTCCATGCCACCACCGTCCCATTCCTTGTTAATTGTGTCTCTCCACCAGACCCACATGCTACTTTCCACTCCATTTACCTTTGGAAGATTCTTAAACCAATCCTCTATTATCTGTGTGTGTCTCTTTCCGTAAACACACCTAAACAGTCTTCCTCAATTTCTGCAAAATACTCAGTAAAACCCTCTTCCTTATTTCCAGTCCCTGCACTATACCTTTTAATAAAGAAGCAAGCTCCAGTCCTCCAAACTCACTCCCATACTTCTCATATTGCTCCTCCAGCTTCATTTAGCCCATTGTCAGGCCTCCAATTTCTCACAAAAACAAAACAAAACAGGATCATATTGTCCTTAACGCGTGCAATTCATTGATAAAACCCCAAATATTCTTAACCAAATCGAAACATAATTCCCCATCCCCTTTAGCTTGCACGAGTCTACAACTGCGAGTAAATCGATTGCTTCATTGGGCTTGATACCGTTACCACCATATGGCTCCAATATACGAAACCCATATTGAAAAGCAAGCTCCTTTGTAGATGGGTCAGGACAGGGAGATAGAGCAGAGATAAAGAAGAGTATTAATGGTGATGGCTGAGACGATGTTATTGGAGAGCTGCAACGTTCATTATTAGAGAGACAGGCAGAGAAGAGGTCTTTGTTAGAGTTAAAAAGTTGAGGTTATAGTTTTAAACTGGATTCTGGGGTTTGGCTTTTTATGTGTTTCTTCTTCCTTGGTTTCTGCCGTAGCCATAAGCTGGACTAAAACTGAAAAGAAGAAGTTTGGGAGGTAATTTTAGCAAAAATTCAAAATTGTAAAAAGCCCTAAAAGTTAGAAGGAAGGACTATTATAGTTGCCGGGCCTAATTAGTAGACCTCTTTTGAGAATTTTATGTTATATAAGTGTAACCTTTTCTTGGGCTAAAACATAAGACTCCAAACTGATTGACCTTCCCAAGGTGCTTATTGAAAATTTAAAACTAGTTCTGCCTTAAATAATATTCATACTAAAATATCATATTAGTTTTTTTTTAAAAAAAAAATATATCTTATGATAATCAAATTTATTTAATTGTAAGTGTGTTTTTCTTTTAACAATTTATAGATTATTGTTCCACCAAAAGAAACAAATATGGAATTATATATAGAAGTTAGAAGTTTATTTTTATATTTACTTTCCTAGAAAACAATCATAAAATTTGCAGTCAAACAGTTATTAAATTATTGAAGCAAAATAGAAAACAGATATTATAAAATGAAATTCACGATGCAAAGCACCAGTATGGACTGCAAGTTGAAAGCATCGAAATTGTTCAGCTATTGATGCTAAATATCTATGTTTTCTTGTTGGGTTTTTACCACCATAAAACAAAAACTACTTTCAAATGTACGAAAATTTATTAAAATCAAAACTATTAATTCCAATGTCCTTTTACCATGCTCTTGCGCTGGAGACATCCTCAAATCGTGAACATTCTAACTCTTGATTAGTTTAATTTTGGTTTCTGCAATGTCCCCTCCTACTAAAAATTCTGTAAATTGTCAGAAAGAAAAAAAATATATATTTTTAGATTTTCTGTAATTAGATATACTTATTGCAATTACTATATCCCAATTGCAGTGTATGAACTAAGGTATGAAATCCATCCAAACTTTTATTAAAAATTTACACTTGTATTATCCGAATTCGATCCCAAAATCTACAAAAAAAAAAAAAAAATAAAAAATGACGCAACAAAAATTCACAATCAAAATCTGCAGTTCAGAAACTGCAACAGCTGCATGTATTGCAGTTGCAGAAATAAGCAGTATATTCTGATATTAAGGTTTACTGTTACTCATTTAGCAATTTTACTCCAAACCCCTATCCAACAAATCTCCACATAGCTTTACTTGATGAAAATTAAAATTCATTAAAAAAAAGTTCTAAAAGAAATTATGGAATTCCACAAGATTTTGTAAGAACTAATTTTAAGATAAAAAGTTTTGTGTTTGGAATTAACAGATGAATTCTAATAATGAAATTGTTATAAGAGTGGCATGCCTACCTTTCAAGTTCTGTTAAAAATTATTTTGGGAATTTTTAAACGAATGTCATAAAATTAAACTACTGATGTTCACAACTCATCCACAAATCCCCAAAAACAAAACATCAAAATCAACCTTAGGCCTTAAAAGGAAGGCACATGTTCGAGCGTACTAATTCAAGAGAACGTCACCGAGAAAGCTCACATTCACCGGAAACCACGGGCTGCCCCTTGCCAGAGAAGTAGAGCTGCGATTTCGCCGAAAGGAGAAAAGAGAAAGCAAAAAAGTGCTGCTCTAAGACGACCAATATTGCCTAAGGAAGCCGTCCGCCTTTCTTCTCGGCTGCGGGAATCGCCGGAGATGTTGGCTGTGAAGTGGCGACGCCAGCTATGCCAAAGGGATAAGCGGCTCGTTGGGGTCGGTCGTTCAGTATTTAACTTTCAGATGAAAAAAAGGGCTTGCGAGTAAAGCGGAGCTGAGATACGACGATGGTAAAAAAAAGGAAGAGTTGTTGTTTGGGAACCCTACCAACAAAACTAGCGTAAGTTATGGAAATTTAATGAAAACTTTATAATCCACATACGTCAAAACTAACTCGTTTTGATAGTGCATTATTTTTTTTCTTTTTTTCTTTATTATTTCTTTTTTATCATTAATAACTATGCTAATTGCTAATGTTGATAATGATAATAATAAATTAATACTAATCATTATAAAGCTATAATTATAAAATTATTCTAATATTAATTATTATTTATTTTTTAATTTTTATTTGTATAAATGTTGAAATTTTTTATTTAGATATTAGTGAGCAATATTAATATATTTTTCAAACGCAATATGTGATTAGTTATTATAATATTGCTTACCTATAATTTTATTGTAATATCATATAAATTATTTATTTTAAAATTTTTGTTGTTAGTGGTTAAACATTTAAATTTAAAATAAAAATATACTTGTATAATTAACCATTTTATTAGAGTTGCTTCATTTCACCCCGATCAGTGGTGAATGCTACCGAAGAAAACCTGATCCGTTTATAAATTGAGTGAGTAACAAATTGTCCGACCAATCCAACTCGAGGCAGCCAAACTGCGATCGAATTATTTTTTTTTTGCTCTTTTTTTTTTTAAAAAAAAAAAAAGGGGCTTGTTGTAGTTAATTTTATAATTAAAAGTAAATATATTATATAATTATAATATATTAAAAGAACCCAAAATTTTTAGGGATCCATTTACCCAGATTTTTCCAAAAAACCTAATCCAATTAATTTTTCGCTTTTTTTTCTAAAAAAAAAGTAGACTTTTTTTAGTAATTTTATGTAAATCAAGAATTCTCTCGTTTGTTGTG